GTGGGCCTTAATAAATTCATGGCTGTGAGCCAAGCAGAGGTGATCTCTGTGGTCACATCCTCAAAAGCCTCAACTTGCATGTTAGACGCAGTCCCGACATGGCTCTTCAAAGACATACTTCCTTTGATAATTGAGCCTATCGTAAATATAATAAACGCATCCATACAATGTGGCTATGTCCCACAAGCTTTTAAAACCGCGGTAATCAAACCCCTTCTGAAGAAAACAAACCTGGACCCAGAAATACTTACAAACTACAGACCAATCTCAAACCTCACTTTTATATCTAAAATCCTGGAAAAACTTATAGCTGAGCAGCTCCGCTGCCACCTGCAGGAAAATGATATGTTTGAAGTCTTTCAATCAGGATTCAGAGCTCATCATAGCACTGAAACGGCACTAGTCAAAGTCACAAATGACTTACTACTAGCTGCCGATAATGGACAAGTGTCAGTGCTGGTCCTACTGGACCTTAGTGCTGCATTTGACACAATAGACCACAGCATTCTACTGCAGAGGCTAGAATGTGATATAGGTCTTAGAGGAACAGCCCTTGGCTGGTTTAAATCCTATTTATCAGATCGATATCACTTCGTCAATGTGAATCAGGACTCGTCGCCTTATTCTGGAGTGGAATTCGGTGTGCCGCAGGGTTCGGTACTCGGACCGATTCTTTTTACTCTCTACATGCTGCCACTGGGAAACATTATTAAAAAGCATGGAATTAATTTCCACTGCTATGCAGATGACACACAGCTTTATCTGTCGATGAAGCCTAATCAGACAGATCAGCTAGAAAAGCTCAGTGCCTGCATAAAGGACCTTAAAATGTGGATGACTCTTAACTTCCTACTTCTCAACCCGGAGAAGACAGAAGTGATCCTACTCTGTCCGAAGCGCCTGCGTGACTCCCTCACTAACCAGATGGTTACTCTCGATAATGTCAGTATAATACCCAGTAACACTGTGAGGAATCTTGGAGTCATTTTTGACCAAGAACTCTCCTTCAAGGCTTATATAAGCCAAGCAACTAAAACGGCGTACTTCCACTTACGGAACATCGCTAAAATTAGGAATTTCCTTCCTAAAAGTGACGCGGAAAAACTCATTCACGCGTTTGTCACCTCAAGGCTCGACTACTGTAACGCTTTACTGGCAGCGTGCCCTAAAGCCTCTTTGAAGAGCTTCCAGCTCGTTCAGAATACAGCAGCTAGGATCTTAACAGGTACCAAAAGGAGGGAGCACATAACTCCGGTGTTAAAATCACTCCACTGGCTCCCTGTGGAGTACAGAATAAAGTTTAAAATCCTTCTCTTAACATATAAAGCCATAAATGGCTTGGCTCCCTCTTATCTCCAAGACACGTTAGTGTCGTATCAACCAGGTCGAGCGTTGCGCTCACAAAACGCCAGACGTCTGGTGGTCCCTAAGGTCTCAAAGGTCACTGTTGGTGGCAGAGCATTTAGCTACCAAGCTCCTTTACTGTGGAATCAGCTTCCCATTTATGTTAAGGAAGCAGATACGGTCTCCACATTCAAGGCCAGGCTTAAAGCACTTTACTTTAATTTAGCATATAATTAGGTAATATATAATATAAGTGTATATATTATATATATATGCTGTATTATGTTATATATTATGTTATATATTATTCAATAATGTATTGTGTTATGTTGTATATTATGTTATATATTATGCTGTATGTTATTCTTTATTCAAGGCTAGGTTTAAAACAGTCCTCTTTAGTTTAGCATATGGCTAGGAAGGTAAGACTCGGAGAAGGTTAAACTCCTCAGAGTGTTAGTCAAGCTGCATAGGGAGTCAGTTTGCTGGGAGAAGTATGGTAACTTGAGCACTATCCTCTCCTCCTTCCTACTTTATCTGTTTAGCATTTTTAGGATTCTGACTGTAGTTTGTTCATTGCTATTCACCCGTTGTCCCATTGTCTGTTTCATGGTACGATGACGGGATCTCTGAGCCTGGCCTCTTCCATCTACACCTGCGGACTGCCCCGCCCGACCCGCCTGGGAGTGCTTCAGTCCTGCACCGGACCTGTCCACGTTCAGCGTCCACTGGTCCACGTTCTGTAGCTAGCTTAGGTCCTGGATCATTAGTCTGTCCGTCCGGAGGAGTGGATCCCTTTCTCATATGGGTCTCCCTCCCTGTGGGTTTCCCTAGTTCTCCTCCAAGGTTTCTCACTTTTTCCCACTGGGTTTTTTAAGAGTTTTTCCTTGTCGATGCAGGAGGGTCTTGTTGGACAGTTAGTGTCCAACAGAAAGGATTGGTGATGATCAGGACACTTTAGCATTCTACAACATGTATGGACATTTTCTTCTGTGTGTGCTTTATACTGTATTCTTCATGTGTTTTAACTGTTGATTCTCTGACCTGTGTTGGTGATTTCAATGGTTTTGTTAAGTCCTCTGAGATGACTTCTGTTGTGACCTAGGGCTATACAAGAATACATTGTATTGTATTGTATTGTGTACATCTATTAGGCAGGGTTTTATGAGGATGCCACCAGGTAAGGCTGACATTAACGGGTGCTCTAACAGAACAGACTTTTCACTGTTACCAGCTGACAAAGCTACAGAGCCATTTAGAACAACTGTTTGGCCTGCAGGAACTAACTGTGGATCTTTGTTGTGCAGTGTCACTAAACCAAGGCTACTGTCTTTGGACTGCTGGTGCCGTAGCTCAAGGACTTTTAACACTGCCTTATAGCCATGTGACATGATTGGCTGCAGTTCAGAACAGGCATCAGAGTACAGTTCGTAAAGTACATCTAACGTGTTTGTCCCTATAAGCACCAATGACTGAGAAGCTGCACGCACATCAGGGACAACTAAGGCAAGTGTCGGTACTTCAGCTTCGATACCAAGAAAGTCTTTCGGGAAAGTGACATGCATTTCAATGTAGCCTAAGTAGGGTACACACTGACCGTTGGCTCCCTCAACTTCTAACAGTTCAAAAAGTGGCTTAATCTTGTGAGTGAATAGATGTTGTTGGTAGTAGGACTCAGGGACAGTAGTCACCTGGGACCCAGTATCTAATAAACAACTCACAGTATGACCATTGACTTTCACTTGGGCCGTACTTTTCGTGCCTATTAAACCGTTAGGAAGGTTAAAGGGGTCTGCTTTTGAGTGTGACTTTAGGTTAACACTCTTTTTAGATGGAGGTTTTCGTTTGAACTTGGTGGGACGGTTCAACTCTGCACTAGCCTCTGTTTGTCCCGCAACAGGGGCAGACGTTAGTTTAAAGAGGACTGGTCATTCTGACTGTCCCAGATTTGTCTTTTCACTCTCAGCTCTTTCCGTTTTGCATCTACAAGGGCAGGGTTTGGCTCTGACTCGCAAGTAGCTACAATATGCCCGTCTTCCCCGCAGCGGAAGCAATACCACGGCTTGGGTCTGGTACTAGGACGGCTGGTTGAAGGTAAGTGTTCAGTTTTAACATGGTCAGGTTTTTTTATTTACAGGTTTCTTGGTTTGGTCATGCTTGGGTGTTGCTTGTTTCTTTTGTTTCACGACTACAGCTAACTGGCTCTTTAGATCGGCGACTTGTTTTTTCAGCTCTTTCAGACTATTGGACTCTGCTTCAGCAACTTTAGCATTGGTTTCAGTAACCGTTTGCTCGTGAGATATTGCTTTTGGCTTCGTGGTACTAAAGTGTTTTTTCATTCGAGTACTTTTAACTTCTTGTCTGTTTTCTGCAGTGCGAAGGAGAAGCAGTAACTCTGCGTAAGTGGGCGGATCTTTGTTCTTAAGCTCTAACTGCAGTTCTGCTAGAAGACCATCATCCCAACAGCCTCTGTTAAACTTCTTAAGAAGCTGTTTGTTCATTTCATGTGGCTCAAGACCCTCCATGATCTTGGAGGGTGTTCATGAATCTTACAAGCAGTTCTTCACTGTCTTCAACGGTACCAAAAGCTGTGTCCAAAAGCTTGAGATAGTCTGCAGGAGTTACGTCAGGCCCAAGGGGGCGAATGACATCGGACGCAGGAGCGAGAAGACTTTCAAGGATCTTACGAGTCTTTTCCAAGCTAGACAAAGAAGAATCATCCATCATCAAGTCAACATGAAAACGCCACGTTTCATAGTCAGCTTCACTGTTAGGTCTGGGTGTTTTGCCAGAGAAAGCTCTGATTCGTACTGTTGCGTGGGCATGTGATGTCTTTTCTGCGTTTTTAACGACATGCTTGACAACGACTTTCTGGATCTCTGGAGGGTTAAGATCAGTTTGACTCAATGTTTTAGGTGTCACGGTTTGTCTTCTGGGGCTTTGCAATGTGCTCTGAATGAGTTGAGGGGAGTAAGGTGTTTCAATAGGGTGCGGAGGTGAGACTCCACTTTGTGTGGGTTCTACAATAGGGTAAGGGTGATCAGAAAGGCTGTCTGTGGGGTTGGCCTCAGCTGTCTCAGCAGCTTCAATGGTCTTCCCTATTGTGGACATAACCTCCCGCAACATTTCTTCGAAACCCTTCCCACTGAACTTGGCTAAACCCTTTAAGTTGCTCAGGTAAGCTTCAGTAACACTGCCCCCTACAGTTTTGGTGTACACGTCAGTTAAAGCTCGAATGCAGTATTTAACATTGGGATTGTCAGTGGACTGCAAGAGGTACGGCAACAAAGGTGCTAAAGTTTCAACGGCTACACAGGACTCGAACTCTACAATGTAACTGTCGTAAAATTCAGATGAGTCATCATTGACGGTAAGTACTCTTCGGATAGTATCATGTTCCTCTTAAAAATCAAAAACCTCTTTGTCTTTCTCTCTGTCAGTTACACCACTAACAATGACTGCATTTGGTACTTTAACACCGAATTTCTGGACAAAATCCATTCTGACCATATATGGACTGTTTGATCAGAGGTCAAAGGGGATTCCAATGATATCACAACGCTCTAGGCTCCTGGCTGGCTCGCCACTGTTTTGTAGCACTTATGGTGCTATCTGTGCCCTTATGTAGTAAAGGATGGACTGAAGGGACAATTGGGCTAGATCAGATAGATTCGAGATTCGGAGGAGCCTAGGGTGTACAACATCAAAAGGACACACGCATACACAAGGAGTTGCAGAAAAATAATGAACGTTTACTCTGCAAATTTAGTTTAAGAGTAATTATGTACAAAAGGGAACACAATTGCGCGCTTTGAAAAATAAAATAAAAATACCCCCCAAAATTGTTGTAAAGTCCATTCAATGTTCGTCTAGTCTTTCACGTTTAGTCTTTCAATGTTCGTTTGTAACAGTAACCAGTCGGGTTACAAATACCAGTCACTGTGGTTCGGGCTATGGCTCGCCATCCAGATCTGGAGCCTCTTCTTGAAATTGGATCCACACAAAAAACCTGACCTGGAAACAGGTCAGACAATAGCTTAAATTATGTTCTATACAGACTAGTTACTAATTAAGCTTTTTAAAGTTATTCAAAATATCTTCAGTTGTACAACATTATAATTCCAGTATTACTAAATAAAAAAAACCAAATTACATTAGTTTACATTTAGTAACAAAAATTGTTTCTCTCAAAAGTGTATAGCAAGTACACTTTAAACTCAAAATTTACACTCACAGGCTTTAAGTGTATAAAATAAACATTTCTCACTTTTTAAAACAAAAAACCTTCAAAAACAGGCAAAGTGCATGTACCAGCACTTGACATTAACACTAAAAATTTTCACAGTGGCTAACCCACATTAGCACCACCAGGATAAAAATTAGCATGTGCTAAATTAACTCTATTGCACCAAAAAACGGCATTTTACACTTCTACACAATTGACTTTGCATAAACCTTGAAATAGTATTTCGTATCAAATGAATTGGGGCCTTGGATTAACCTATTTTACCTCTAAAAAGTGCATTTTCGTAGTGAAAAAGCTAGCGGAGATACAACTCGGAGATTAGCATCCGGAGATTAGCATGCTAACTAGCCCCCATACACAATGAATGGCACTCACCATGCTACATCCCCGTGGGACACAGGGTTTCCCAGCTAGCGTGGGTTCACAGCCTTTGGGACTCAGTATCTATCACCGTGTATTTTCACCAAAAAAGGCTGCTACTAACACGTTAGCTTCCCCGGAGCAGGTACAAGGTCTCTCTCTGTCTGCGTCTCTGGCATGTCTGACGAGCACGTACAGAGGACGTGGAGGTTAGGAGAGGAGACTTGACCTTATTGGCTAATGATGATGTTATACTATAGCGCAATTGGCTGCTCGGGGTGTATATTTAAAAATATATTTTTTACGTATTTTTAAATGATTTTTTAAACGATATTTATGAGAGAGAGGCCAGAGAGAGAGAGACAGGCCAGAGAGAGAGACCAGAGAGAGAGAGGCCAGAGAGAGAGAGAGAGAGAGAGAGAGACAGGCCAGAGAGAGAGACAGGCCACAGAGAGAGGGTGTTCTCTTATGGTCTTATATGGACATATTGAGTTTCCTTCTAATGCATTAAAACAATCACACTTTAGCTTAGCTCTCGCTAATTACAGCTAATTAGTAGATAATGTAGTGTTGTTCAGCTCTTCATTGGTATTTCTTTCACGTCTTCTTTGTTATGCTAAAGTTAGAGACCAATGTGGTTTTACTGCAAATGGCAAATACATTGTTGAATCTTGAATGCAACACTGACATTTCCCCACAGTGGGACACATACAGAGCTCTTCATCTTTGATCTTAACTCTCAGATCCTGTGACAGATGGAGTTTGTTTCTGGGGGACATGTTTGAGTGACGCACAAACTGGTGTCCATAGTCGCTGGCGAAGAACTGCTGCAGCTTCAGGCTCCAGTCGTGGCGCCGCTTCAGGACGCCGTAGGTCTGCGGCGGCTGACACATGTAGCACATCCACGGGTCCAAGTGCCGGGCAAGGTCTGAGGCCCCGGGGTCCACCAGGAGGTCCAGGCAGTCCACACAGAAGCACCTAGACCAGAGACCAGAGTTAAAGAGAGAGTCCACACAGAAGCATCTAGACCAGAGACCAGGGTTAAAGAGAGAGTCCACACAGAAGCATCTAGACCAGAGACCAGAGTTAAAGAGAGAGTCCACACAGAAGCATCTAGACCAGAGACCAGGGTTAAAGAGAGAGTCCACACAGAAGCATCTAGACCAGAGACCAGGGTTAAAGAGAGAGTCCACACAGAAGCACCTAGACCAGAGACCAGAGTTAAAGAGAGAGTCCACACAGAAGCATCTAGACCAGAGACCAGGGTTAAAGAGAGAGTCCACACAGAAGCATCTAGACCAGAGACCAGAGTTAAAGAGAGAGTCCACACAGAAGCATCTAGACCAGAGACCAGGGTTAAAGAGAGAGTCCACACAGAAGCATCTAGACCAGAGACCAGAGACCAGGGTTAAAGAGAGAGTCCACACTGAAGCATCTAGACCAGAGACCAGAGTTAAAGAGAGAGTCCCACACAGAAGCATCTAGACCAGAGACCAGGGTTAAAGAGAGAGTCCACACAGAAGCATCTAGACCAGAGACCAGAGACCAGGGTTAAAGAGAGAGTCCACACTGAAGCATCTAGACCAGAGACCAGAGTTTTAAAGAGAGAGTCCACACAGAAGCACCTAGACCAGAGACCAGAGACCAGGGTTAAAGAGAGAGTCCACACAGAAGCATCTAGACCAGAGACCAGAGTTAAAGAGAGTCCACACAGAAGCATCTAGACCAGAGACCAGTGTTAAAGAGAGAGTCCACACTGAAGCATCTAGACCAGAGACCAGAGTTAAAGAGAGAGTCCACACAGAAGCACCTAGACCAGAGACCAGAGACCAGGGTTAAAGAGAGAGTCCACACAGAAGCATCTAGACCAGAGACCAGAGTTAAAGAGAGAGTCCACACAGAAGCATCTAGACCAGAGACCAGAGTTAAAGAGAGAGTCCACACAGAAGCATCTAGACCTGAGACCAGAGTTAAAGAGAGAGTCCACACAGAAGCATCTAGACCAGAGACCAGGGTTAAAGAGAGAGTCCACACTGAAGCATCTAGTATGGGAACCCAAAAATGACTCAAGTATAAATAAAATAAAAATAAATAAAATACAGGAAATATATTAATAAATCATTCAATTTGGACAATTATAAACTAAATTTTTACATGTTGTGTTAAATATTAATATGAAATTCAAATAATATACTTTTATTAGTTATTTATCATTAACTACAGTTTTTTTCCTTTATTTAAGTATCCATTTATTGCATATATTATTTTGTATGTCTACATTTCTCTTCATATATTTATTTATGTTATTTCTGACATTTCTTCATATTATTTATTTATGTATTTCTACATTTCTTCATTTATTTTATTTATGTATTTCTACATTTTCATTATTTATTTTATGTATTTCTACATTTCTTCATTTATTTATTTATGTATTTCTACATTTCTTCATTTAATTTATTTATGTATTTCTACATTTCTTCATTTAATTTATTTATGTATTTCTGCCATTTCTTCATTTATTTATTTATGTATTTTCTGTTTGCCGTATGCTACATTAGGTGGGCGGTGCTGAACTCAATGATTGGTGGGCAGTAGGGCAAAACCAGACAAGAAGCAAAGTTAAGCCTAGCGTACATCGACAGAGAAACTGGAGACAAGTTGCAAGGCGGCTTTTGGCGACTGAGAGGAGATTGAGAGATCAGTCGGTCTCCCAGTTTCAGTCAGTTACCCTGATTTCTACTTTTCGGCAACTATTGTCCTCAGTTTCGGAGATGATTGACCCGATGTGCGCGCTCCATGCGCCGCTCCGACAACGTGTGTGGTAATTGCGTGTATTGCGAGCCCGCAACAGTTTATGTCAGAAAACACACTGTAGTTGAGGCCCCAAGTGGCTTGTCGATGTACGCGTGTTATTCCCCCGACTGGTCCTGCGACCTGGAGTTGCCCGTTTTCGTCAATTGTCGATGTGTCGGGGCAGCAACTCAAATGCGACGGATATAATCATTGCCAGTCCGATGTACGCTAAGGCTTTAGCCTTCTCGGTTTGTGGGGGGGAGAGGGATGTGAAGCTGCTGCTTGTTGAAGAGCGTCCCAGCACAGTTGCATCATAGTCTTCCTCTGGGTCAGCACGTGATAAACTAAAACATCTAATAGTCT